CTCCAGTTGCTCGGGTGTGTGATCTACTCCAGTTGCTCGGGTTTGCGATCTACTCCAGTTGCTCGGGTTTGCGATCTACTCCAGTTGCTCGGGTGTGTGATCTACTCCAGTTGCTCGGGTGTGCGATCTACTCCAGTTGCTCGGGTGTGAGATCTACTCCAGTTGCTCCGTGTGTGATCTACTCCAGTTGCTCGGGTGTGTGATCTACTCCAGTTGCTCGGGTGTGTGATCTACTCCAGTTGCTCCGTGTGTGATCTACTCCAGTTGCTCCGTGTGTGATCTACTCCAGTTGCTCGGGTGTGTGATCTACTCCAGTTGCTCGGGTGTGCGATCTACTCCAGTTGCTCGGGTGTGCGATCTACTCCAGTTGCTCCGTGTGCGATCTACTCCAGTTGCTCGGGTGTGCGATCTACTCCAGTTGCTCGGGTGTGCGATCTACTCCAGTTGCTCCGTGTGCGATCTACTCCAGTTGCTCGGGTGTGCGATCTACTCCAGTTGCTCGGGTGTGTGATCTACTCCAGTTGCTCGGGTGTGCGATCTACTCCAGTTGCTCGGGTGTGTGATCTACTCCAGTTGCTCGGGTGTGTGATCTACTCCAGTTGCTCGGGTGTGCGATCTACTCCAGTTGCTCGGGTGTGCGATCTACTCCAGTTGCTCGGGTGTGCGATCTACTCCAGTTGCTCGGGTGTGCGATCTACTCCAGTTGCTCTGGTGTGTAACCTATTCCAGTTGCTCGGGTGTGCGATCTACTCCAGTTGCTCGGGTGTGTAACCTATTCCAGTTGCTCGGGTGTGCGATCTACTCCAGTTGCTCGGGTGTGCGATCTACTCCAGTTGCTCGGGTGTGTAACCTATTCCAGTTGCTCGGGTGTGCGATCTACTCCAGTTGCTCGGGTGTGTAACCTATTCCAGTTGCTCGGGTGTGTGATCTACTCCAGTTGCTCGGGTGTGTAACCTATTCCAGTTGCTCGGGTGTGTAACCTATTCCAGTTGCTCGGGTGTGCGATCTACTCCAGTTGCTCGGGTGTGCGATCTACTCCAGTTGCTCGGGTGTGTAACCTATTCCAGTTGCTCGGGTGTGCGATCTACTCCAGTTGCTCTGGTGTGTGATCTACTCCAGTTGCTCGGGTGTGTAACCTATTCCAGTTGCTCGGGTGTGCGATCTACTCCAGTTGCTCGGGTGTGTGATCTACTCCAGTTGCTCGGGTGTGTAACCTATTCCAGTTGCTCGGGTGTGCGATCTACTCCAGTTGCTCGGGTGTGCGATCTACTCCAGTTGCTCGGGTGTGTAACCTATTCCAGTTGCTCGGGTGTGTGATCTACTCCAGTTGCTCGGGTGTGTGATCTACTCCAGTTGCTCGGGTGTGCGATCTACTCCAGTTGCTCGGGTGTGCGATCTACTCCAGTTGCTCGGGTGTGTAACCTATTCCAGTTGCTCGGGTGTGTGATCTACTCCAGTTGCTCGGGTGTGTGATCTACTCCAGTTGCCCGGGTGTGTGATCTACTCCAGTTGCCCGGGTGTGTGATCTACTCCAGTTGCTCGGGTGTGTAACCTATTCCAGTTGCTCGGGTGTGTAACCTATTCCAGTTGCTCGGGTGTGTAACCTATTCCAGTTGCTCGGGTGTGCGATCTACTCCAGTTGCTCGGGTGTGTGATCTACTCCAGTTGCTCGGGTGTGTAACCTATTCCAGTTGCTCGGGTGTGCGATCTACTCCAGTTGCTCGGGTGTGTGATCTACTCCAGTTGCTCGGGTGTGTAACCTATTCCAGTTGCTCGGGTGTGCGATCTACTCCAGTTGCTCGGGTGTGCGATCTACTCCAGTTGCTCGGGTGTGTAACCTATTCCAGTTGCTCGGGTGTGTGATCTACTCCAGTTGCTCGGGTGTGTGATCTACTCCAGTTGCTCGGGTGTGCGATCTACTCCAGTTGCTCGGGTGTGTAACCTATTCCAGTTGCTCGGGTGTGCGATCTACTCCAGTTGCTCGGGTGTGCGATCTACTCCAGTTGCTCGGGTGTGTAACCTATTCCAGTTGCTCGGGTGTGTGATCTACTCCAGTTGCTCGGGTGTGTGATCTACTCCAGTTGCCCGGGTGTGTGATCTACTCCAGTTGCCCGGGTGTGTGATCTACTCCAGTTGCTCGGGTGTGTAACCTATTCCAGTTGCTCGGGTGTGCGATCTACTCCAGTTGCTCGGGTGTGCGATCTACTCCAGTTGCTCGGGTGTGTAACCTATTCCAGTTGCCCGGGTGTGTGATCTACTCCAGTTGCTCGGGTGTGTAACCTATTCCAGTTGCTCGGGTGTGCGATCTACTCCAGTTGCTCGGGTGTGCGATCTACTCCAGTTGCTCGGGTGTGTAACCTATTCCAGTTGCTCGGGTGTGCGATCTACTCCAGTTGCTCGGGTGTGTAACCTATTCCAGTTGCTCGGGTGTGTGATCTACTCCAGTTGCTCGGGTGTGTAACCTATTCCAGTTGCTCGGGTGTGCGATCTACTCCAGTTGCTCGGGTGTGCGATCTACTCCAGTTGCTCGGGTGTGTAACCTATTCCAGTTGCTCGGGTGTGTGATCTACTCCAGTTGCTCGGGTGTGTGATCTACTCCAGTTGCCCGGGTGTGTGATCTACTCCAGTTGCCCGGGTGTGTGATCTACTCCAGTTGCTCGGGTGTGTAACCTATTCCAGTTGCTCGGGTGTGTAACCTATTCCAGTTGCTCGGGTGTGTAACCTATTCCAGTTGCTCGGGTGTGCGATCTACTCCAGTTGCTCGGGTGTGTGATCTACTCCAGTTGCTCGGGTGTGTAACCTATTCCAGTTGCTCGGGTGTGCGATCTACTCCAGTTGCTCGGGTGTGTGATCTACTCCAGTTGCTCGGGTGTGTAACCTATTCCAGTTGCTCGGGTGTGCGATCTACTCCAGTTGCTCGGGTGTGCGATCTACTCCAGTTGCTCGGGTGTGTAACCTATTCCAGTTGCTCGGGTGTGTGATCTACTCCAGTTGCTCGGGTGTGTGATCTACTCCAGTTGCTCGGGTGTGCGATCTACTCCAGTTGCTCGGGTGTGTAACCTATTCCAGTTGCTCGGGTGTGCGATCTACTCCAGTTGCTCGGGTGTGCGATCTACTCCAGTTGCTCGGGTGTGTAACCTATTCCAGTTGCTCGGGTGTGTGATCTACTCCAGTTGCTCGGGTGTGTGATCTACTCCAGTTGCCCGGGTGTGTGATCTACTCCAGTTGCCCGGGTGTGTGATCTACTCCAGTTGCTCGGGTGTGTAACCTATTCCAGTTGCTCGGGTGTGTAACCTATTCCAGTTGCTCGGGTGTGTAACCTATTCCAGTTGCTCGGGTGTGCGATCTACTCCAGTTGCTCGGGTGTGCGATCTACTCCAGTTGCTCTGGTGTGTAATCTACTCCAGTTACTCAGCTCTATAATAGCCCAGATGACAGCAGGAAGTGGATCACATTTAACCGGTCACACATTCAGAGATTTTGGGCAGCTTGAAACACACACACACACACACACACACACACACACACACACACACACACACACACACACACACACACACACACACACCACTTTCTACATTTTAACCTCACATGTGACACGTTTTAGAAGGTCTCATCCTTTTCCTAACCCATCAAAGACAACACCTTCAGTGATGCTCTGTCACCTTAGGGGCTTGCTGCAGACTTCCTAGTGACTTGAATGTTCACACTCAGCTCCGAGTCAGGTAATGGGATATGTACTTAGCATGTAAACATCACTTTACTTCCAAAGGAACATTTTATCTTTAATAGTGTGAATTCATGTTTACACGTATGTTCTCTCTGATGAAGGTCCAACATGGCTGTGGATGTCGGTGGTTTCTCGTTCCATTGTTTGGTTCTTTTTTAAACACTGAAAGGTTTCTCTTTACCTTCTGACGTTTCGTCTGCGGCTGCAGACTTCCTCAGAGCTGATGGTGGCGTCACTTCCTACTCCGTTTATCCGCGGGCAGCAGAGGACATTGTCGCCCTCTGCTGCCCGCTCTCCCCTCTCCGGTCAGCAAGAAAGACCTTATCTGTGTTTAAAATAGAACCAACAATGGAAAGAGAAGACTAACACAGCAAGAACGTACAATAGATGTTCACTCTTCTCTGTTCTCTCACTGAGGGTAGGAAGCACACAGCAGCTGTTCTTAAACTACAGCAGAGATACGTGGTGTCCATTCTCTCCAGGGCAGGCTTCAGGTGGACACAGACGTGTAAGGTCTGTGTGGACAGCTGGAAATTCTCCGTCAGTCATCAGTAAAACCTGGAAAACCTTTTTCCACCAGTCATCAGCTTTGTTCTGGACCCAGAAGCACGGAGAAGCAACATCATCTAAAACGCAAACAGAATGCGAGTTAAAATATAATCTGAGATATTCAACTACTGGTAATCTGATAAAGTAATCCAATAGAATACCGTTTAAATGTGTAATCATACAAATGCATACAAGCAGCGTGTTTAATAGGGTAAACTTCCATGTTGTTTCGTTCATCTGCGGCGCTGTTTTGCTTTCTTCCTCCATAACGGAGCGTCGCTCCTGCTGGACCCTTCGTCTCCCGACTCCCTCTGCGTGCCCTAGCAGCCTCCACGAGATACCTGCGATTTCACTGATCATCAAAGGTAACCTGATAAAACAGACGATGAGCACAGTCACCTCCTGTGTCCCGCTAGCTTAACCGTGAGCATAGCTTCTTGGTGGTGTTATTCCGGCTCTTAGCACGTTGCGTTGTCGCAGGCGGTTTCGTCGTGCTGAAAAGGTTCCTATGGGGAGGATGGTTCTAGGAACTAAAATCTGGGAGGATGGTTCTAGGAACTTGGTTCCTAAAATTATGCAGTCAGAAAGCGCCTTTTCTGTCTAGATGGAAACTTCCACCTGGAGCAAAGGACCTTCTGATTGGCTCACAGTTTTGTCCCTAACCACAGGAACAGGATTGATCATGTGACCTTGTTATTAAAAATCTGAATCTGTCTCACAGATGAAGTCGTCCTTAAGTTTGAGAGGGCAAAGGTCAGAGTAAGGAACGTCGCCTACGACACACTTCCTGTTGTCATCCATGGCAACGGACCCACTAAGGTACCCAGCCAATCACAGCGCCCCAATTAATTGTTGAACAAATGTTTGAGTTTCTGATTCAACAGAATCAGTCAGTGATGTCACGCTCATCACCTCTGTGACCTCTGACTCCTGATTCATGTGACCTTGGGGGTGGCAGAGGATTTAATGGACGTGTCCTTGGGCAAGGCATTTCACCCTCTGGTGGTGGTCAGAGGGATTGGTGGTGCCTTGCCTCTGTCATTGTGTCCGAGGGCAGCTGTGGCCCCCATGTGACCCACTCTGACTTTCTTGACCTGTATAACCCTTATGTGACCTCTCTGACCTCTAAATTCCCTTGTGCCCCATGTGACCTTATTGATCTAACGCCTGTGTGACCCCTTTGTAACCGTTCTGTGACCTTTTGACCTCTATAGCCCCTCAGTGACCTGCATGTGACCTTATTGACCTATTTAACCCTTGTGTGACCTCTTTGACCTTTCTTATCTCTTTAACTCCTCTCGGACCTCTTTGTAACCACTCCTTGACGTTATTAACCTTTATAACTCCTCTGTAACCTCTCCATGACCTTACTGACCTCTATAACCCTTCTGTGACCTCTCTGTAACCCCATGTGACCTTATTGCCACTATAACCCCTCTTTAACCTGTCTATGACCTTTGTGACTTCTATAACCCCTCTGTGACCTCCTTGTGACCTTATTGACCTCTATAACCCCTGTGCGACCTCTCTGACCTTTCTGACCTCTATAATTCCTCTGTGACCTCTCCGTAACCCCTCTTTGATCTTACTGACCTCTATGGCAACGGACCCACTAAGGTACCCAGCCAATGACAGCGCCCCAATTAATTGTTGTATATGTGACCTTAGTGACCTCTATAACCTCTCTGTGACCCTATAGCTGCAGCTGAACTACCTGGGAAACTACGTGCCTTCAGCGTGGACCTACGAGACCGGTTGTGGAATCTGTGATGATGACCTGCTTTACTTCAACAATGTACCTGTACGCCCTTCTGCTGCGGTAGCATCACAGTTGTGTGAGTGTTAGCATGTCTGATCGCTGTGTGTGTGCGTGTGTGTGTGTGGGTGCGCGCGCGCATGTGTGTGTGTGTGTGTGCGCGCGTGTGTGTAGGATGAGGAGATGCCGCTGGTTTTTGTTGCTGTTTTCATTGAACACCCGACTCCGTTCATGGAAGAGTTCCTGGAGAGACTGACCACGTTGGACTACCCCAAAAGCAGGCTCCGCCTTTTCATCCACAATAATGTAAGACACACACACACACACACACACTCACTCACTGTAACTGTCATATCCACTAACCCCTTTACACATGTATGTTCTGACCCACCAGGTGGTCTACCATGAGCATCACATCCAGCGGTTCTGGGAGCGCCACAGGTCTCTGTTCCCCGAGGCTGTCCTGGTTGGACCTGAGGAGAACCTGCAGGAGGACGAGGCTAGAACAATGGCCATGTGAGTGGAGAACCTCCAACGACAGCATCAGGTTCTTTAGGACAGTGCTTCCCAACCAGGGGTCCGCATACCCCTAGTGGTCAATGAGAGCATTACGGGGGGTACAAGTAAAATGTCGTCTTCCTCCGCTTATCCGGGTCCGGGTCGCGGGGGCAGCATCCCAACTAGGGAGCTCCAGGCCGTCCTCTCCCCGGCCTTGTCCACCAGCTCCTCCGGCAGGACCCCAAGGCGTTCCCGGACCAAATTGGAGATGTAACCTCTCCAACGTGTCCTGGGTCGACCCGGGGGCCTCCTGCCGGCAGGACTTGCCCGAAACACCTCCCCGGGGAGGCGTCCAGGAGGCATCCTGACCAGATGCCCAAACCACCTCAACTGGTTCCTTTCGATCCGGAGGAGCAGCGGTTCTACTCCGAATCCCTCCCGAATGTCCGAGCTCCTCACCCTATCTCTAAGGCTGATCCCGGCCACCCTATGGAGGAAACTCATTTCGGCCGCTTGTATCCGCGATCTCGTTCTTTCGGTCATTACCCAAAGCTCATGACCATAGGTGAGGATTGGGACGTAGATCGACCGGTAAATCGAGAGCCTGGCTTTCTGGCTCAGCTCCCTCTTCCCCACGACAGATCGGCTCAGCGTCCGCATCACTGCAGACGCCGAACCAATCCGCCTGTCGATCTCCCGATCCCTCCTACCCTCACTCGTGAACAAGACCCCGAGATACTTAAACTCCTCCACTTGAGGTAGGACCTCTCCCCCGACCCGGAGGTGGCAAGCCACCCTTTTCCGGTCGACAACCGTGGTCTCAGATTTGGAGGTGCTGATCCTCATCCCAGCCGCTTCACACTCGGCCGCGAACCTACCCAGCAGGAGCTGAAGGTCAGAGCTGGATGAAGCTAGGAGGACCACATCATCCGCAAAAAGCAGAGACGAGATTCTCCTGCCACCAAACTCGACACACTCCACACCACGGCTGCGTCTAGAAATTCTGTCCATAAAGGTAATGAACATAACCGGTGACAAAGGGCAGCCCTGGCGGAGTCCAACCCTCACCGGGAACAGGTCCGACTTACTACCGGCTATGCGGACCAAACTCACGCTCCTCTGGTAAAGGGACTGAATGACCCTTAACAGAAAGCCACCCACCCCATACTCCTGGAGTGTCCCCCACAGGGTACCCCTGGGGAAACGGTCATAAGCCTTCTCCAAATCCACAAAGCACATGTGGATTGGTTGGGCAAACTCCCATGCCCCCTCCATCACCCTTGCAAGGGTACAGAGCTGGTCCACAGTTCCACGGCCAGGACGAAAACCACATTGCTCCTCCTCAATCTGCATCTCAAGTAAAATGTATATTTAATTACTCAGATGATAACAGCATTCACCCTGGTTTAAAAAACATGGGGCTGGGATGGGTTTTGCTTGAAGAATATGGCTTTGAATATTCTAATGTCTTTGAAAAATTTCAGTCTGGTTTTAGGGTGAACCACAGCACCGAGACGGCCCTTCTGAAGACTTTAAATGATTTTAGAGTAAATTATGACAAACGGAAGTTGACAGTGTCGGTTCTACTGGATCTACGTGCTGCCTTCGATACGGTAGACCACACTATTCTTTTAACTCGTTTACAACAGATCGGCCTCTCTGGTGCTGTACATAGATGGTTCACATTAGGGCTGCAGCTATCGAATATTTTTGTAATCGAGTACTCTATCGAATCTTTTTTTCGATTAATCGAGTACTCTAATAAATTACTCTTTTGTGTTTGTAAACCTTTATATCATATATTGATGAGCCAAGATGGCGTCGAGTATGGCTGCCTCGTCGCGAGCTCCACCAAGTTCCAACATTACACGCTCCATACTGTACATTAATGCCACTGTTTTGCACATACCAACCTCTGTACATTTTATATCTCTTATCTTATTGTTTACTTTATTCATTTGTATACTTAGATTAGCCATTTTTATATTTTACTTGTTTTTACATTACTGTATTTTTGCACAACTGTTGCTGTGAAGCTCGCACACAAGAATTTCACTCGCATGTACTGTACCAGTGTACCTGCACATGTGACGTGACAATAAAAGTGATTTGATATCAAATAGCATGTTATAATTATGAAAGACCTCTTAAAATGAGCAAGCAATTGCCAGTTATTCTTCAAGTTTTATTCAAAATTAGTTTGCATAACTTCAGCACTTCAACTTTACTTCACAGTAAACAAATGCCTGTGCAAAAAATAAGTAAACAACCTGAGCCGATTTTCCCCTCGTGCGAGAATCTGCTAGCCTGCAAGCCAGACAAAAACTAGGAGGATAACGCTGCGAGCGGCTGCGGCCCAAACAGAACCAGAACCGCTCACGGCGCAAACAGCTCGCCGGCTGTTTCCCTATTAACGGACGTCCGTTTTTATTTCTACACTTTTTGTCTCACACTAACAAGGATTGCCAAAAGCATGTTTGCTGTGGTTTTGTCAAATTATACTGATCACAAAACATTTATTTACTTTCTTTCGTTTTCCTCCGCCACTCATAAATACCCGTGTCCTCCTGCAGCAATCCCGAGGGACAACGAACATCAGTAACAACACAATAAAAAGTCTGACATATTGTGTAAAAACTGCTATTTTTTAGCACATTTTAAGACCGACGTGTTGCTACCAGACGTACGGTGTGAGCTGAAACTGAGCGCTACAAACAAAAAAGTCACACAGTGTCTGCAGAATATATAGAAAAACAGGCTAAAATGCATTATCTTGTAGAGGCTCCGAGTCCGCTTGCAGAAGAGACATTTACAGGTGCTGCAGCACGGAGGATGTGGTGTTGTGCTAGGCTAAATCCATTTTACAGTATTTATACTGGACTACGTTTTCCACCTTACGACGTGAAAAATGGTTCCACAACTTTGACATTTTCTGTCTTTTTCGCACTCCACCGGGGTCCACGTCGTCCGCCATGGCTTAAGAGAAAGTTAAGTTACATTCGCCACTCGCGTGTGCATTCAGTCCAGTGGGCATGTGCGTCACTTATTTCGGTCCGGGTGAAACATGACCCCGGGCGATTGCAAAGCCATGAATTAATTAAATATGAATTAAACGAATCCTCGAGGCAGAGAATTTGACTCGAGGATTTTTTGTACTCGAATTATTCGAGGTACTCGAGGAATCGTTTCAGCTCTAGTTCACATTCTACCTCACAGACAGGACTTTCATGGTGAGTTTAGAGACCTGGTACTCGAGGGTTCATGGGATTACATGTGGTGTGCCCCAGGGTTCAATTTTAGGCCCAGTGCTTTTTAATCTTTATATGCTCCCTCTTGGCGGAGTCATCAGGAGACATGGGGTTAACTTTCACAGTTATGCTGATGATACACAGTTGTACATTTCCGTGTCTCCTGATGACTCTCGGTCAATGGATGCACTTTTTAACTGTATTTTAGACATCGAATCCTGGATGGCAGAGAACTTTCTCCAGCTCAACCAGGACAAAACTGAAGTTTTAGTCATCGGTCCTGAGGCCCAGAGAGAGAAGCTTTTACCGAAATTACAATCTCTGTCTTTTAATCCATCTGAACAAGTGAAGAACCTGGGTGTGATTTTTGACTCTGAGCTGACTTTTATCCCACACATTAAAAATATCACAAAAATAGGTTTTTATCATCTAAAGAACATCGCCAGAGTCCGCCCCATTCTCTCTCGGGCCAATACGGAGACGTTGATGCATGCTTTTATCACCAGTAGGATAGACTACTGCAACGCCCTGCTTTCTGGTCTTCCCAAAAAGAGCATCTCAGGCTTACAACTTCTACAAAACTCAGCAGCTCGTGTCCTGATGAAGACCAGGAGGCGGGAGCACATCACTCCTGTTTTAGCATCACTGCACTGGCTCCCCGTGTGTTCCAGGATCCATTTTAAAATAATTCTAATGGTTTTTAAGTGTCTTAACGGTCTTGGGCCTTCTTATCTCTCAGTACTGCTTTTACTGAATGAACCCATGCAGCCTCTGCGCTCCTCTGGCAGGCGTCTGTCTCCTGGTCATCCCTAAAGTCAGGACACACACTCACGGCGAGGCGTCCTTCCAGTGTTATGGCCCTCGCCTCTGGAACGAGCTGCCGGACGACCTCAGGGACGTAGAGAACGTTCATGTTTTTAGAAACAGGCTCAAGACCCATCTTTTTAGCTTAGCTTTTAACTGATTGCTATCATTTTTTAATTAATTAATGAGGTTATTTATCTATTTATTTATTTATATGTATTCTTTTTATTAATCAACATTATTTAATATCTATATAACTTTTTACATTACTATTCTCATTTTAGCTCCTATTTTATATTTTAACCTTAATTTAACCTTTTTCCAGTGTTTCCTCTGTGGGAGCCCTCTGCCCTGGGAGGCGCTGGTCAGCTGTGGCGGCCTGGGTGCTTTCCAGGTGTGCCTGGGTGGAGGTGGGGGTCTCCTCCCTCCCTGCCCTGGGGGCCCGGAGTCAGTGCCTCGGCTGCTGCTGTGCATCTGCTGCTGTCGGGGCGGATGGCTCCCCTGATGGAATTTGCTTAGCTGGTCTGGCTCATAAGATGTCAGCCCATCGTGTTTTTTCCATGGGGAGGGGGGGCGGCGTGTGTGTGTGTGTGTGTGTGTGTGTGTGTGTGTGTGTGTGTGTGTGTGTGTGTGTGTGTGTGTGTGTGTGTGTGTGTGTGTGTGTGTGTGTGTGTGTGTGTGTGTGTGTGTGTGTGTGTGTGTGTGTGTGTGTGTGTGTGTGTGTGCTGGAGGATGAGTGTTGTGAAGGTTTTTATTCTCAGACTGTTTTTAAATTCTGGGGATGGGAGGGAATGTGGGCATGCGGGGTCTTTTTAATTTGTTAAGCACTTTGAGTTACATGCATTGTAGGATTAAGTGCTTTATAAATAAAGTTTGATTTGAATATGCAAATGAAGTCATGCACAGTAATATACGGTTGATTTCATATTATCAGCCCCTCCCTGGGCTGGTGAAGGGGTTTGAGTGTCCTAATGGTCCTTGGAGCTAAGTTGTCTGAGACTTTATGCATCTTTTTTGCGTCACCCATGGCAAACAGGCCCTACGTGAGGGATCAGACAGAGCAGCCCAAAGACTACTCATGAAAACAAACCAATGGAAACCGTGTCCCCTCGCCCTGACATGGGTCACCACCTCTGCATGGATCATGGGTGAAAGCAAAGCCCGATGAGGAAATGTGGGTTCCCCTTTCTGTGGGCTCACCACTCGTGGGAGGGGCCAAAGGGGTCTAGTGCAGTGTGTGATGGGTGGTAGCCGAGGACGGGGACCTTGGCGGTCTGGTCCTCGGCTAGCTGGCTCTTGGTACGTGGAATGTCACCTCTCTGATGAGGAAGGAGCCTGAGTTGGTGTGTGAGGTTGAGAGGTTCTGACTAGATACAATCCCACTACGCTACCCGGCCCGGGCCGACCCGGTACAGATGGGAATGGCCCATATGAAACAACACAAGCACCTTGTCTGGGCTTCAGCCCCCCCAAAAACGGGCTAGAAACGCCCATGGATGGCAACAGCAACATATACACAGCTAACGTGAGTGAGTTACCGTGCGAGTGAGTGAGTGAGCGACTGTGCAAGCGAGTGAGTGAGTGAGCGAGCAACCGTGCGAGTGAGTGAGTGGGCGACCGTGCGAGTGAGTGAGTGAGTGAGCGAGTGAGTGAGTGTGTGACCGTGCAAGCGAGTGAGCGAGCAACCGTGCGAGTGAGTGAGTGACCATGCGAGTGAGTGAGTGACCATGCGAGTGAGTGAGTGAGCGACCGTGCGAGTGAGTGAGCGAGTGAGTGTGTGACCGTGCGAGCGAGTAAGCGAGCGACCGTGCGAGTGAGTGACCGACCGTGCGAGTGAGTGAGCGAGTGAGTAAGTGAGTGTGCGACCGTGTGAGTGAGTGAGCGAGTTAGTGACCGTGCGAGTGAGTGAGTGAGCGACCGTGCGAGTGAGTGAGTGACCAACTGTGCGAGTGAGTGACCAACCAAGTGAGTGAGCGAGTAAGTGAATGTGCAAGTGAGTGAGTGACCGTGCGAGTGAGGGTGTGAGTGAGTGAGCGACCGTGCGAGCGAGTGAGTGAGTGAGCGACCGTGCAAGTAAGTGAGTGAGTGAGTGAGTGACCGTGCAAGTGAGTGAGTGAGCGAGTGAGTGAGTGAGTGAGTGAGCGACCGTGAAAGTGAGTGAGTGAGTGAGTGAGTGACCGTGCGAGTGAGTGACCGACCGTGCGAGTGAGTGAGTGAGTGAGTGAGCGAGTGAGTGAGTAAGTGAGTGTGCGACCGTGTGAGTGAGTGAGCGAGTGAGTGACCGTGCGATTGAGGGTGTGAGTGAGTGAGCGACCGTGCGAGCGAGTGAGTGAGTGACCGTGCGAGTGAGGGTGTGAGTGAGTGAGCGACCGTGCGAGCGAGTGAGTGAGCGAGTGAGTGAGTGAGTGAGTGAGCGAGTGAGTGACCGTGCAAGTGAGTGAGCGAGTGAGTGAGTGAGTGAGCGAGTGAGTGAGCGAGTGAGTGAGCGACCGTGAAAGTGAGTGAGTGAGTGAGTGAGTGACCGTGCGAGTGAGTGACCGACCGTGCGAGTGAGTGAGTGAGTGAGTGAGTGAGCGAGTGAGTGAGTAAGTGAGTGTGCGACCGTGTGAGTGAGTGAGTGACCGTGCGAGTGAGTGAGTGACCGACCGTGCGAGTGAGTGAGTGACCGACCGTGCGAGTGAGCGAGTAAGTGAATGTGCAAGTGAGTGAGTGACCGTGCGAGTGAGTGTGTGAGTGAGTGAGCGAGCGAGTGAGTGAGCGACCGTGCAAGTGAGTGAGTGAGTGAGTGAGTGAGTGACCGTGCAAGTGAGTGAGTGAGCGACCGTGCGAGTGAGTGAGTGAGCGACCGTGAAAGTGAGTGAGTGACTGAGCGACCGTGCGAGTGAGTGAGTGAGTGAGCGAGTGAGTAAGTGAGTGTGCGACCGTGTGAGTGAGTGAGCGAGTGAGTGACCGTGCGAGTGAGTGAGTGAGCGACCGTGCGAGTGAGTGAGTGACCAACTGTGCGAGTGAGTGACCAACCGAGTGAGTGAGCGAGTAAGTGAATGTGCAAGTGAGTGAGTGACCGTGCGAGTGAGGGTGTGAGTGAGTGAGCGACCGTGCGAGCGAGTGAGTGAGTGAGCGACCGTGCAAGTAAGTGAGTGAGTGAGTGAGTGACCGTGCAAGTGAGTGAGTGAGCGAGTGAGTGAGTGAGTGACTGTGAAAGTGAGTGAGTGAGTGAGTGACCGTGCGAGTGAGTGAGTGACCGACCTTGCGAGTGAGTGATCAACCGAGTGAGTGAGCGAGTAAGTGAATGTGCAAGTGAGTGAGTGACCGTGCGAGTGAGTGTGTGAGTGAGTGAGCGAGCGAGTGAGTGAGCGACCGTGCAAGTGAGTGAGTGAGTGAGTGAGTGAGTGACCGTGCAAGTGAGTGAGTGAGCGAGTGAGTGAGTGAGTGAGCGACCGTGCGAGTGAGTGAGTGAGCGACCGTGAAAGTGAGTGAGTGACTGAGCGACCGTGCGAGTGAGTGAGTGAGTGAGCGACCGTGAAAGTGAGTGAGTGAGTGACCGTGCGAGTGAGTGAGTGAGTGAGTGAGTGAGCGACCGTGCGAGTGAGTGAGTGAGCGACCGTGCAAGTGAGTGAGTGAGTGAGTGAGCGACCGTGCAAGTGAGTGAGTGAGCGACCGTCCAAGTGAGTGAGTGAGTGAGTGAGTGAGCGACCGTGCGAGTGAGTGAGTGAGTGAGTGAGTGAGCGACCGTGCGAGTGAGTGAGTGAGCGACCGTGCAAGTGAGTGAGTGAGTGAGTGAGCGACCGTGCAAGTGAGTGAGTGAGCGACCGTGCAAGTGAGTGAGTGAGTGACTGAGTGAGCGACCGTGCAAGTGAGTGAGTGAGTGAGTGAGCGACCGTGCGAGTGAGTGAGTGAGCGACCGTGCAAGTGAGTGAGTGAGTGAGTGAGTGAGCGACCGTGCGAGTGAGTGAGCGACTGTGCGAGTGAGTGAGTAAGTGAGTGAGCGACCGTGCGAGTGAGTGTTTGAGTGAGTGAGTGACCGTGTGAGTGAGTGTTTGAGTGAGTGACCGTGCGAGTGAGTGTTTGAGTGAGTGAGTGACCGTGTGAGTGAGTGTTTGAGTGAGTGACCGTGCGAGTGAGCGACCGTGCGAGTGTGTGAGTGAGTGAGCGACCGTGCGAGCGACCGTGTGAGTGAGTGAGCGACCGTGCGAGTGCGTGAGTGAGTGAGTGAGTGAGTGTTTGAGTGAGTGAGCGACCGTGCGAGTGTGTGAGTGAGTGAGCGACCGTGCGAGCGACCGTGTGAGTGAGTGAGCGACCGTGCGAGTGCGTGAGTGAGTGAGTGAGTGAGTGTTTGAGTGAGTGAGCGACCGTGCGAGTGTGTGAGTGAGTGAGCGACCGTGCGAGCGACCGTGTGAGTGAGTGAGCGACCGTGCGAGTGAGTGAGTGAGTGAGTGAGTGAGTAGGGATGTTTTCTGTCTGATGGGTACCTATAGTCTGGACACCCTTCACGTCCTATGGCGGTGATTTTTACCTGGAACAGCACAGGTGTGTCTTTAAGGTGGAAAAGGTAGATTAGAACATCCAGAATACGATGAAACAGGTGGTCATCACTTTTCTAGACCTTAGGCCACATGACCCATTTCTACCCAGGTGAATAATAAACCAGCTTTTGTCAAGCCCCTCCCCCTGTCCTGCATGTTCTCCGTGTCTGCTTCAGACCAACCTCGTTCACAACCTGAGCGTTTACACCAGCTGTGGTGCTGATCCAGATGCAGGGCTCCAGAAGGTTTCCACATGGAGTCAGGGCCCTGCATGAGGATGGATAAGGAATTCACCTGAGAAGTTAGGCTTGGTCCAGACCTTATTTAGATCCACCAATCAGGACGTTCTACTTTTGGGGAACCATCACCGCTGTGACTCGGGGGTACTCGTGGTATGAGAACACGGCTCAGGGGTCCGGGGGTCAGAGGAGGTTGGGAACCACAGGTTTAGGAGACTGATGGAGAACCATCTTACAGGTCTCTGTGTTTTCATTGTGTGTGTGTGTGTGTGCGTGTGTGTGTGTGCTCAGTGAGGCGTGTAAGAAGGACCCAGGCTGTGATTATTACTTCAGCATGGACTCAGACGTTGCTCTGACGAACCCTGACACCCTGAGGATCCTGATTGAGGAGAACAGGTACAGACCTCTGCTTCTGTCCCCCCATTGGTCCCTCTGAGTCCCGTTCTTCTTCTGTGGTTTTAACTGGACCCCTCTGTCACTCAGGTCCGTCATCGCCCCCATGCTGTCCAGACACGGCAAACTGTGGAGCAACTTCTGGGGCGCTCTGAGTCCTGAAGGTTACTACTATAGATCAGAGGACTACATCGAGATCCTGCAGGGGAAGAGAGTGTGAGTCTGTCTCTCACACACACACACACACACACACACACACACACCAGCTGCTGCTGCGTGAGTGTTTCTGATCACTACCGTTAGACATCCCCGTGTCCTGGCTGGCTATGGTGTCTTAAAACAGGATGACCGTTACTGCAGGTGCTGCGATGGTCCTCTTGTTTTTTCCTTTGTCAGATGTTTATTTTAGTTTACTACACTGATGTGGCTCCAGTGGCGAGTAAACAATAGTAACAATAGTAACAACAATAGTAACAAGCAGTAAACAATAGAGGAGGGACAGGAAAAGGGGGTGGAGTTAAAGAACATTAGGAAACTACCTGGACGCCTGTGGAGGGATAAGAAACACCCACAGCATCGACCACCATCTGCTTGTTCCACGGTGATGTTCTTGAATGTTAGTTCAATATTATTAGTGACAGTCACAGACCAGGTAAGTGTGTGTTGTGAACACATGTACACACAGGTTTGTGTGTGTGAGAGTGAGGATGTGGTTGTGTCTATTGTGTTCTATTGGTCGTGGAGGATCCCAGTCCTGCCCTGGAGCAGGCCGTGGGAATTGGAGGACAGGGGCCCCAGGAGAACCACCACAAGAACCGTGGTCCTCACCCAACAAGAGATGCACGGAGTTCCAGAGGAGCTACCCAGCAGCCACAGAGGACTGCAGCAACGATCGCTCAGACCCCGCCTGTAGCTGACTGCCCCTGAGCAGTCCAGGATATGGACCCTGAGGCATCCTACCCACCTGGCAGGGACCCAACCAGGCAAAGAGGCGCCTCTAGGACCCAACACCATCAGCCACCAGGGGCCCTAGACTCTGAAAGTTTGGTAGGGGGAGATGAGCCTCAACTATCTCATAAAGAGAATCTGTCATAGCTCCCCTACGGAACCCACCAGCCACCCTCCGACATCCACCAGGGCAGGATCCACCCCCCAGTTAGGGGAACAATGCGAAAGCAGCCTACCCCATGCCACCCCAAAGGAAAACCTACACCAGTGATACCCAACTCCCTTCCCAGCATGTTTATGTATTTAGCAGACGCTTTTATCCAAAGCGACTTACAAGTAATAATCGGCATGTCGCCCTTGAGGCTAATAACAACAACAACAACAACTTGACATCAATCATGGAGAGGAGGGAACAAGGAGTGGACAGTAGGGAGGGGGGACGGGTGCAGACAAGGTGCTAGTTTAGAAGATGCTCTCTGAAGAGCAGGGTCTTCAGGAGTTTCTTGAAAATTGAAAAGGAAGTCGCTGTTCTGGTAGGGCTTGGAAGGTCATTCCACATTTGTGGAACGATGCATGAGAAGAGTCTGGATTGTCCTGAGCGTGGTGTAGGCACTGCTAGCCGACCATCCTGTGATGACCGGAGCGGCCGGGCCGAGACGTGAGCCTTTGCAAGAGGATTCAGGTAGATGGGAGCCGTACCATCTCGGACTTTGTATGCTAGTGTTAGCGGTTAGAATTTGATGCGTGCTGCTAGCGGTAGCCAGTGGAGCTCAATGAACAGAGGGGTGACGTGTGCTCTTTTAGGCTGATTGAAGACCAGATGCGCCGCTGCATTCTGGACTATTTGAAGAGGTCTCACAGTCCAGGCTGGAAGACCAGTTAGAAGGGCGTTGCAGTAATCGAGGCGGGAGATGACAGTAGATTGCACCAGGAGCTGGGTGGCATGTTGTGTTAGGTATGGTCTGATCTTTCGTATGTTGTACAGCGCAAAGCAGCATGAACGAGCAACAGAGGCAACATGATCTTTAAAGGTCAGGTGGTCATCAATCACAACACCCAGATTTCCAACTGCCTTTGAAGGAGCCAGAGACAGGAAGTCATTCTGGATGAGATATTGTGCTGAATGGATGGTTTTGCTGGGATGACAAGTAGTTCAGTTTTAGAGAGGTTGAGTTGGAGATGGTGGGATTTCATCCATTTTGATATGTCAGAGAGACAGTTTGATATTCGTGCAGAGACAGTGTGGTCGTCTGGTGGAAATGACAGATAGAGCTGGGTGTCGTCTGCATAGCAGTGGTAGGAGAAGCCATGTGATCGAATGAACTCACCCAGTGAGGTGGTGAATATGGCAAAGAGAAGAGGTCCTAGTACAGAGCCCTGGGGGACTCCTGTGGCAAGGTGGTGCACGGTAGAGGATTGTCCAAGCCAAGATACACTGAATGATCGTCCTGTGAGGTACGGTTCAAACCAGGCGTGTGCTTTCTCTGTGATGCCCATGCTAGAGAGTGCGGACAAAAGGAAGCCATGGTTGACAGTGTCAGATGCAGCCGATAAGTCGAGCAGGATAAGCACTGAGGATTTGGCAGTCGCTCTAGCTTCTTTTAAGGATTCAGTCACTGCCAACAGAGCAGTTTCAGTGGAGTGGCCCTTTTTGAACCCAGATTGGTAAGGGTCAAGCAGACAGTTTTGTGAGAGGTATTCTGTGATCTGCTTGAAGCATGTTTCAGTTGTTTCCCTAATCCAACAGTGCAGCAGCTCATCAAGCCTCTGCAGAAGCTTAACCACCTGCTGATTAAAGCAGGTGTGTTGAAGCAGGAAACCATGCTGGATACCGGCCTGTAAAGCAGCAGCAGAGGGCGACAGTACACAAGTCCCATAGTTTTCTTCACACACTTGTGAAGTTCACCACCACATGTGACCCATCTCCATCGAGGGGAGCGGTGAGCTGCAGCGCTGGCTGTGCTCGGGAACTATTTGGTGGTTTAACCCTAAAACAAACAAAGCTAATTCCATAAAGTCGTATGTCCACCGCATCTCCCAGCTCACACCAGCCCTCCTCGGCCATTTTACCGTGACAGGACCTTTAACTACTTTAACAATGCTACAGCTTGCTTCTCTGAGGGCTTCTTCTCAAACGTTAACGTGAGACGTGGCTGTCCTCTGGTTGGTAACCTGTGGCAGTTTACACTCGCCTTGTGAGCGCTCGTCTATGGGAGGAGCCCACAGTGGCACCACTGCTCAGTGAGAGAGTAGGAAGCTGTGTGCTTCATGTCAGAGTCTACAGAAGCCACTCTGCTCACAGCCACTTCTGTTTACTAACCAGTGGCTCTAAGGAACACCACAGACTTCGTACCTCTTTAGTGGACCCGTCCATGCACACGGCCATGTTAGTGCTCCTGAGACGGCTGTGTAAATCAATCAATCAATCAATACTTTATTAATCCCAGAGGGAAATTACACAACCTCACTGCATGGGGGCGACTGTCCCCACCCGGCCCAGGCCACGCTAACCAAAGTGTGATTCCACCTTTAGGGATGAGCTCATGTGAAAAGTTGGGCCAATATCTGAAATCAGTACTACACTTGAGGGAGATTTTTGATACTTACCCATATTATCCATCCATCCATTCATCCATCCATCCATCCATCCATCCATCCATTCATCCATCCATCCATCCAATCCATCCATTCAGTCATTTTCAGGGTGGGCTCGCAGGAGCAGCAGCCTAAGCAGAGAGGCCCAGATTTCCCTCTCCTCCGGGGGAATCTGAAGGCGTTCCCTCTAGAGCCCTGCACGGGCCTAAAATCTGAGCCCGTGTCCGGCCCGGCCCGAGGGGGTGGAGCCCCAGCCCGACCCGGCCCGAAAAGGTTTTCAGGATTCTCTGGCCCGGCCCGAGCCCAAGCCCGACTTTTTTTAACCAACTAAATGAAAACAAAGTGCGTCAATCCTGACCAATGTGTTAAAAGACGTGCAGGATCCGAGCGTCGCAGAAGCGCATGCGGGAAGGTTCCTCCCACTGAAGCGAGTGTTTTCCAAACCCTGTCTCTCAGAGAGACTTGTCACTTAGAAAATGTTCCCTGATTATGAAACTTTGGCTGAATAGCGCTTGTTCCTGTCTCCAATGTGCGACACATCCAGGAGCTGTCTGAGGAGAAGCCCAGAATCTCACATCCTCTTCAGCTCATGAGCGCATATGATTACGCACAAGCGTGACCCAACACGGTCTCACAGTAAGACCGGGTTGGAACTGTTCAGGTTTACGCAGACAATCTTCACATAGAATTGACTTACAGATATAAAATTAATTCAGTAAAATATAAAGCATTTTATTTAAATACCCATTCATTATTTTACAAGCACAGAGAGCGGCAGATGGATGGAAGAGCCGCGGGTTGCCGATCCCTGCTCTAGTTCAAGATATCATTAAAATTCCAAAAGTGCTGAAAAGATTAAAAATGGGGCTTTCCGTGCACATACAATACATTATGGTAGCCACCGGGATTTCCTGTCTTGAGCGCAACGAATCACAACACAGATTCAGAGACGTGCGAGTTTGTCATCCAAAATGCTCCGTTTTATAACTTTTGAATGGTTGATCAGATTCAAATAATTCCAACGGTTCCTAAAAGTACATAAAAGCAGCTTTCCAACGATCTATAGCATGAAGCAATCAGAGTTAGAGAAAATATCGCTACGAGGGGAAATCCTGCTGTACAGCCTGATTGAAACGGAGCGCAGCGCCGCGGTGAAAGCGGATAACCTATAAAATGACATGTTGAGGACGCAAACTCAATACATCTCTTTTATTGTGAGGTAATAATTTCTCCGAGTTTTGCGGTTGCGGGCGGGGGTAGACATGCACGCTGCAGGTGCGGGCGGGAGTAGACATGCACGCTGCAGGTGCGGGCGGGAGTAGACATGCACGCTGCAGGTGTGGGCGGGAGTAGACATGCACGCTGCAGGTGTGGGCGGGAGTAGACATGCACACTGCAGGTGCGGGCGGGAGTAGACATGCACGCTGCAGGTGCGGGCGGGAGTAGACACGCTGCAGGTGCGGGCGGGAGTAGACATGCACGCTGCAGGTGCGGGCGGGAGTAGACATGCACGCTGCAGGTGCGGGCGGGAGTAGACATGCACGCTGCAGGTGTGGGCGGGAGTAGACATGCACACTGCAGGTGCGGGCGGGAGTAGACATGCACGCTGCAGGTGCGGGCGGGAGTAGACATGCACGCTGCAGGTGTGGGCGGGAGTAGACATGCACACTGCAGGTGCGGGCGGGAGTAGACATGCACGCTGCAGGTGCGGGCGGGAGTAGACACGCTGCAGGTGCGGGCGGGAGTAGACATGCACGCTGCAGGTGCGGGCGGGAGTAGACATGCACGCTGCAGGTGCGGGCGGGAGTAGACATGCACGCTGCAGGTGCGGGCGGGAGTAGACACGCTGCAGGTGCGGGCGGGAGTAGACATGCACGCTGCAGGTGTGGGCGGGAGTGGACATGCACGCTGCAGGTGCGGGCGGGAGTGTAACACACACGTTGCGGTTGCAGGCTGTAATGGTCAGAAATTCAGCGGGAGCGGAGCGGGATGAAGAAAACAGTCCCGCACAGGGCTCTACTGCTGCGTTTAAGTGTTTTAATTTTTTTAATGATTTCGAATAAAAATAAAGGCGCCCGGCCCGGCCCGTGTCCGAGGTAATTACACAGTCGTTGGCCCGAAGCCCGGCCCGAGGGCCGTCGGGCCGGGCCGACCCGAGGGCCTAGGGCTTCAGTGCAGGGCTCTAGTTCCCTCCATCATGTCCTGGGCCTTCATTTAGACCTTTATACCCCACCAGGGAGGCATGCAGGAGGCATCCTAGCCTGATGTCTAAGCCAGCTCAACCGGCTTCTCTTGAGGTGGAGGAGAGTGGATCTTCTGGAAGCCATATGGAAGTCTTTCTCCATGGTCTCACCAAACGCTTCCCATGCCAAGGTTTTAACCCGTCCCCCCATGCGTAGGTGGAAGGAGTCTACCCCCTCACTCACCGAGGTAAACTCCATACAGGCACCAAGATGAGAGGCAACATGTATGCCCACCCCTGCTTGGCACCTAATAGTGGGGCAACTGTAGAGTGTTGAGGTGAGTCCAACCATATGTAGTTGGAACCTCTCAACCTCCCTCACCATCTCAGGCTCTTTTCCCACCAGAGAGGTGATACTCCACATACTGGGAGCCAGCTTCTGCAGCCTAATATCAGACCGCCAAGGTCCCTGCCTCCAGTTACCATCTCATATTGCACTCAACCCCTTAGGCCCCTCCCGTGAGCTGTGAGCCAATGGGTAGGGTGACCCACATGATGAGTCGTAGAAAACTGTGTGCTCATTGATGAGAGTCTGGGTTAGTTGTGTGCCTTCGCTCAGCGGTAGCAGGTAAAGAGCCAGATACTACATATTTGAACTGATTGAGCTGCAGGGCACCTCAGCAAAGGAAATACCTGATGCACTGTTAGAATGTCTTCAAAACATGGCTGACGCTTATTTTTTACAGGACCATGTGTTGGCCTTCGCTTGTGATGGAGCACCAGTGATGCTTGGGAGGAAAGCAGGAGTTGCTGCACAGCTTTGTTGCTAATTCCCTAACTTGTCTGTCTGGCATGGCTCTAACCACAGACTGGAACTGGCAGCATGTGGTGCTTTGAAGGAGGCTGGGGGAACCAATCACTTCAACATTGTTTTAGATCAGCTGTACTCCCTCTACCGTGCGTCCCCAAATATCAAAGAGAATTAACCGAGAGGGCTCATAGTGTTGGGCAGCGGCTTCTTGTGATTGGACGTGTTTTATCAGCGCGTTGGGTTGCTTCAAGTGAGAGGACAGTGAAAGCAGTATGGGAAAACCATCAAGCTCTGCAGATGCACTTCACAAGCGCTGCTGCGGATACCAACAGGGATTCAAGCGAGAGAGCAAAACACAACGGACTTAATGACGTTCTTACTTCTGTCTCCTTTGTGGCCGATCTTAGTGCCATGTATGATGCTCTCACAGAACTCGGTGAGCTCTCAAGAATGCTCCAGAGACGAGACGTGACATTGGACCAAGCCGACAGGCTGCTAGCCCGGTATATCCGTGTCTTTGAGTCAGTGGTATCCACACCGGGCCCACAAACACAAGTGGCAATCGAAGCAGAAGAGAAGAACATCCTCAGAAATGTAAAGCTGCATGAAAATCAGAGGGTTCCAAAAGTCAACCCCGCACAGTTTTTCCGTAGCCTGGCTGTAAATGTGGAGTGCAGCATGACTCCAACAACTGCCTCACATGTCAGCAGAACCTCGTCTGTAAAGACAGTCCACTCCTCAAAGATATCCAGGTCCTCCAGTCTGACTCCTGGCCTGCAACAGCAGATATTCAGCACGGCGACGCGGACGTCAGACGTTTATGTGAGAGATTCAAACATGAGGAAAGGGAAAGTGTCTTAGGATTTAGGGAGTATGAAGACCTAAAGGCTTCCAACATACCAGCAGCCCTGAAGCCTCTTCTTAAAGCCGCCCACACCATTGCAGTATCAACAAGTGGATGTGAGCGAGCTTTCAGTTCACACCAAAAGGCTTTCAGATCTGATTTTCCTCAAATGCAACGGACCACCATTGGATCAATGTCATGCACAAAGTTATGTGAGGTCGTGGCTGGCATCAGGGAGAAGGAGTGCAACGTGTACGCCCTGTGAAGCCCCTAGTGCTAACCAAGTGGACCCCAAGGCCTGCTGGAGCCTCTTCTGAAAGGACTTGGACCGTGGTGGTTGTTGTAGGTGCAGTTAGTTCATTTGGCACGGCACAGTCTGGTTACATTTTTTAAGTTACTTTTGAAGATTTTAACTTAATATTATGCTTGAAAATGTTCTATGTAGTTTCAACATGTTACATGTAAGCTAAAGTCATTGGCTTAGTGTTTTATTAGTTAGTTTATGTGTATTTTAACATTATTTTGATCTCCTGCATATTTTCTTTGATTATGCATAAGTCACTTTGATTCACTAGCTCAAGAACTTCTGTTACGCTGTTGTTGGTTGCCCGATTGCTAATTACTAAAGCAATGGAAGTGGTATACCTTCACTTGAACTCGTTTAGTGTTCCTGCCCCCCCCCCCCCCCACCCAACCCCGATACTCTTCTAAGGGAAGTACTGGCACTTAATTTTTCCACTTAAAGCACTGATGGTAAGGTGGTGGAAGGGGTTGATGTGTGTGATATGTATCACATATGTATTCATCATAAGTGTAGGAGTTGATAAAAGTAGAGCTTTAAGAGCTTCACATATTACCTCTACTTATGACCGATACGCTGTGATACTCTATGTAAATATAGAATACCAACCGGCCTGGTCTTTGGGGGTTTATCAGCAGATTCTAGGGTTGTTTGTTTATTCAGGCATTGTAAACACTTTGTTTTGATTCAAGGAAAGAGTCAGGTCTGTAAAAGTAAGAATTTATTTACCAAACAATAAAAACTTGACCAGTTAACTAATATGTACTGTGATGGGTGGCTCTAGATGGAGGAGACGTGGTATACGGTGCCTATCAGAACGTTCGTGTCTAGGAGAGCCGAGTTCTGGGTGTCAAGGGAAAGACTTTGGTTTGCGTTGAGCTATGAGGTTGGTTATTATCGAAAGGCATCAGACGCCATCTATGTGTCTACTTCACCCGTTCTTGGAGACCCCCGTTTGGATCCGAGATGTCAAGGAGCCGATGACCCCCATGCACGTGGTTCGTAGAGAAACCCTCGATGCGACCAAGTCAGTCCTGGGTGGCGTCCGGGTCACACGATAGAGGAAACTGGTTGTGTCTTAGAGCAGCTGTTTCTGAGTAGCTGAAGGAGCAAGTTGCTTTGTTCTGAAGGAACAGGTGTGTGTGTGTCAGCTTTACAGCAACCTCTACGGCGTGTCAAAGGCTGCTTGTGGGTTACAGAGACGTCACTACGGACGTCCGTTTCCGTAGCTTCCTCTAGAACTCTGTAGAACTGGAACACTCTACCGCTGAGTCACCGGACTGATTCTGTTTTTATGCTCTTATATTAATTTCTTAACAAATCAGAGCGTGCCTTGTTGAGGGATAGTACCAAGAATCTCAGAAACACGCCTTCTTTCAGATACAGGGGTTCTGATTGGTGGGTAAGTGTGTATGTGTCACGCGTTTGACTTAACTACTGATCCATGTATAATCAATGTAATAATTCATTTCACACTTTCAGCCATTCTAATTCCTAACCCTAACCCTACCCTATCCAACGTATTGATTTAAGCACAGATGAATGAAACCTAATTAATATCCATGTAACATTCGTTCATTTCATGAATGATCAACACACATAAACAGAAGCAGTCCTCCAGGTACCAGTCCGGCCCGGCCTAGATAACGAGGCAGGCTTGGCCCAGAAGGGCCTTGAGGAGGGAACGTGATTGTTGACAGTACGTTATCGTGTGTTCAGAGCTGCACAGAGGCTCCGAACCAGCTGATAGGGTGCAGATCCGGCAGATTGAAGGACACACACGCAGACCCGTGTCTCCATGTCCACCAGATCTTGAAGGCTCTAACTGTGCTTTACTGGACATTATATAAGTTATATGTGCTGTACGTGTTTTATACGTATCATATATTATACGTGTTGTCCATCTGTTATGAACGATACCCCCGGTACTGACTCGGACTGAGAGATCAAAGGTTATATTTATGGTGTTAATATTATACTAATGCATTAATAAACCCGCTGATGCCTCCTGAAACCCTGATGAGTCCCTTCACACACTCCGATAAAAACTACAGGCGCTGTTGACATGAAGCTGCCAGCATCGGCAGGTCAGTGACGGAGGCTGTTTCTGACTCCATGAGAGTCTGAGTCCGAGTGGACTGGGCCCCGCAGAGTTAAGAATGCTCTCTGTGCTTTGATTTTCTCTGTGGTAATGTGTGTGTTTGGTTTGTTCAGCGGTCTGTGGAACGTTCCGTACATCACTCAGGTGTATCTGATCAAAGGCAATGTCCTGCGGTCCAAACTGGCTCAGGTGAACCTGTTCATGGACGACGGGATGGACCCGGACATGGTGTTTTGCAGGAGCTTCAGGGACCAGGTGAGACGCAGTTCTGGTTCCGTATTTCCAGACCTGTCTTTAAGTTACGACGGTGTGATTGATGTGTCTCCACAGGGTGTCTTCATGTTTGTGTCCAACCGGGACGACTTTGGCCGCCTGGTGGCTTCGTCCAACTTCAACACGTCTCGGCTCTACCCAGACCTGTGGCAGATCTTTGACAACCCTGTGGTGAGGACTGCTGAAGGGAGGCTCTGTGGGTCCATGCGTTTCTTCATGTGTGTCCATGTGTCTCTGCAGGACTGGAGGGAGAAGTATGTCCACGAGAACTACTCCAAGATCTTTGAAGATGAGACTGGTGTGGTGGAGCAGGTACAGTCCGTGAGCTAAGTGGATCCTGGGAGACAGAGCAGGTGGCTTTGTTGTTTGGTCTAATGAGAACCTGAACCTTGTCCCCAGCCCTGTCCAGATGTCTACTGGTTTCCTGCCTTCTCTGATAAGATGTGTGATCAGCTGGTGGAGACAATGGAGGCTCATGGGGAGTGGTCTGGAGGATCCCATAAGGTACCAGGTCTGCTGACTGTGTAGAAGATTCTGATTCCTGGGTCTTAAAGCCTTTTCTGTGGTCAGGACGAACGTCTCGCAGGCGGGTATGAAAATGTCCCCACGGTGGACATCCACATGAACCAGATTGGCTTTGAGAAGGAGTGGCTCAAGTTCCTGAAGGAGTACATTGTCCCTGTCACCGAGAAACTCTACCCCGGGTACTACCCTAAGGTATGGGCTAAATCCTTGTCCCCTGGCACTACCCTGGGGCAGCAGTAGCTCAGCAGGTTGAGGGGGTTGTCCAGTAATCAGAAGGTTGCAGGTTCGATCCCGGCTCCAGACAGAGAATTCTGCTGTTGTGTCCTTGGGCATTTAACCCACCTTGCCTGCTGGTGGTGGTCGGAGGGACCGGTGGCGTCTGTGCTTGGCAGCCTCGCCTCTCAGTGTGCTCCAGGGCAGCTGTAGCTACATGGTAGCTCATCCCCACCAGCATGTGAATGTGTGTGTGAATGGATGAATGATACACTGTAGTGTAAAGCGCTTTGGAGTCCTTACTATACAGGTGCGGGTCATCTATTGAGTTATGGTCTAGATCCTGGTCCCCTGGTACAAACTTTTTTGTTTACTGACGTGTGTGTGTGTGTGTGTGTGTGTGTGTGTGTGTGTGTGTGTGTGTGTGTGTGTGTGTGTGTGTGTGTGTGTGTGTGTGTGTGTGTGTGTGTGTGTGTGTGTGTGTGTGTGTGTGTGTGAATGCTTTTAAACTGTTATGGGGATTTGGGGTCATTTTAATTCTGGAAAGCACTTTGCTTGAAACTTGCTTTAGAAATCAAATCTGATTAATTCATAAACGACTCCACATTTAAGTCCAGCTGGTATCTTGTCTTTTGGGTGTACTAGTCTGTTTCTAACTGTTGTGTATGGTTTTGTTGGTGTGTTTATGTTGTGTTTTTCCATTGTTCTTATTTTTACTGTTATGCCTCTGATGTATGTCAGGGTTATCACTGGTTCTGGTTCTTGTCTTTCTGGGTTTCTGGGTCTTTGCTTAGGTTGTTCTTTTCTTTCTGTTGTTGTTTGTTGTTTTCCTTTGTTTATCGTCCATGTCAAGTATCCGCAGGTCCAACAAAACCCTACACAACAGTTAGAAACAGACTAGTGCACCCAAAAGACAAGATACCAGCCGGACTTAAATGTGGAGTCGTTTACCAAATCCCATGCAAACTCTGCAATAAAACATACATAGGAGAAACCGGACGCCAACTCAACACACGAACAATAGAACATAGAAAGGAGTGTGAGAAATAAACAAGTGGAAAACACACAAGAGCAGCTAAAGACTGCCAAATCCTCAGTGCTTATCCTGCTTAACTTATCGGCTGCATGTGACACTGTCAACCATGGCTTCCCTCGTCCACACTCTCTAGCATGGGCATCACAGAGAAAGCACACGCCTGGTTTGAATCGTACCTCACAGGACAATCATTCAGTGTATCTTGGCTTGGACAATCCTCTACCGTGCACCATCTTGCCACAGGAGTCCCCCAGGGCTCTGTACTAGGACCTCTTCTCTTTGCCATAAACACCACCTCACTGGCTGAGATCATTCGATCACATGGCTTCTCCTACCACTGCTATGCAGACGACACCCAGCTCTATCTGTCATTTCCACCGGACGACCACACTGTCTCTGCACGAATATCAAACTGTCTCTCTGACATATCAAAATGGATGAGATCCCATCATCTCCAACTCAACCTCTCTAAAACTGAACTACTTGTCATCCCAGCAAAACCATCCATTCAGCACAATATCTCAGTCCAAAATGACTTCCTATCTCTGGCTCCTTCAAAGGCAGTTTGAAATCTGGGTGTTGTGATTGATGAACACCTGACCTTTAAAGATCATGTTGCCTCTGTTGCTCATTCATGCCGCTTTGCGCTGTATAACATACGAAAGATCAGACCATACCTAACACAACATGCCACCCAGCTCCTGGTGCAATCTACTGTCATCTCCCGCCTCGATTACTGCAACGCCCTTCTAACTGGTCTTCCAGGCTGTACTGTGAGATCTCTTCAAATGGTCCAGAACGCAGCGGCGCGTCTGGTCTTCAGCCAAAAAGAGCACACATCACCCCTCTGTTCATTGAGCTCCACTGGCTACCGCTAGCAGCACGCATCAAATTCAAATTGCTAACACTAGCATACAAAGTCCGAGATGGTACGGCTCCCATCTACCTGAATCCTCTTGCAAAGGCTTACGTCGCGGCCCGGCCGCTCCGGTCATCACAGGATGGTCGGCTAGCAGTGCCTACACCACGCTCAGGACAATCCAGACTCTTGACAGACAGCATGAATAATGTACAGGTGTGCCTTAGACTGCCCACAATAAAAGGACACCCTGACATATGCACAGTTTTGCTTCATGAGGGTGGTGAGGCAGAAAACCAGTCAGTTTCTGGTGTGGCCATCATTTGCCTCACGCAGGGCAACACATCTCCGTGGCATAGAGTTGATCAGGTCGTTGATTGTGGCCTGTGGAATGTTGGTCCACTCTTCTTCAGTAGCTGTGTGAAGTTGCTGAACATTTGCAAGAACTGGAACACGCAGTCGTATATGCCGATCCACAGCATTCCAAACATGTTCAGTGGGTGACTCTTCTGGTGAGTATGCTGGCCATGCAAGAACTGGGATGTTTTTAGCTTCCAAGAATTGTGTACAGATCTTTGCAATATGGGGCCGTGGGTTATCATGCTGCAACCAGAGGTGGTGGTTGTGGATGAATGGTACAACAATGGGCCTCAGGATCTCATCACAGTACCTCTGTGCATTCAAGATGCCATCAATAAAATGGACCTGTGTTTCGTTGTCCATAACATACACCTGCCCATACCATTACCCCACCGCCACCATGGGCCACTCATTCCACAACGATGACAGCAAACCGCTCACCCACATGATGCCACACACACAGTCAGCCATTTGCCCTAAACAGTAAAAACCGGGACTCATCTGTGAACAGAACACCTCTCAAATGTGCCAAGTGCCATCGAATGAGAGTGTTTGCCCACTCAAGTCAGTTACGATGACGGACTGCAGTCAGGTCCAGACCCCGATGAGGACGACGAGCATGCAGATGAGCATCCCTGAGATGGTTTCTGACAGTTTGTGCAGAAATTCTCTGGTTATGCAAACCGATTGTTGCTGCAGCTGTCCAGGTGGCGGGTCTCAGGCGATCCTGGAGGTGAACCTGCTGGATGTGAAGGTCCTGGGCTGGTGTGGCCACGCATGGTCTGCGGTCATGAGGCCGGTTGGATGGTCTGAGTCACCGGAAGGCGCGCTTTCCAGCACCCCCTCCAAGGTCTCCAAAAAGGGTGGGTAGTCTGAACTGTAGTTTGGTGCATAAGCACAGACCACAGTCAGAACCCGTACCCCCACACATAGGCGGAGGGAGGCTACCCTCTCTTTCACTGGGGTAAACCCCAACGTACAGGCACCAAGATGGGGGCAACTAGTATACCCACCCCTGCTCGGCGCCTCTCAGTGGGAGCAACTCCAGAGTGGTAGAAAGTCCAACCCCTCTCAAGGAAACTGGTTCCAGAGCCAGAGCCATGCATTGAGGTGAGTCCAACTATATCTAGTCGGAACCTCTCAACCTCACACACCAACTCAGGCTCCTTTCTCACCAGAGAGGTGACATTCCATGTGCCGAGAGCCAGCTTCTGTAGCTGAGGATCAGACCGCCAAGGTCCCCGCATTCGACTACCACCCATCACACACTGCACCCGACCCCTTTGGCCCCTCCCTCGAGTGGTGAGCCCATGGGAAGGGGGACCCACGTTTCCTCTTCGGGCTGTGCCCGTCCCGCAGCGCTCCTCTGAGAGAGCGGGGGTGGGATGGTTGCACACGTTCCGCTGCTGTTTCTCACCAGTATCAGCTGATGGAGGGCTCTAGTTTCGCTGCGCCGTTCGTTTCAGCGGACACGGTCGGAGAGGGGGGGAGGGGCATGACGCTTAGCCTGGCGGGTGGGCAAGCAAAGCCTGGCGGGCCGCCAGGCTTATAAAGCCCTGGGAGAAACCCTGGAACAATCAGATCACTGATGTATGATGGAGCTTGATTATTAAGAGCTTTATATGTGAGAAGAAGGATCTTAAAATCTATTCTGAATTTAACAGGTAGCCAATGTAGGGAAGCTAAGACAGGAGAGATATGATCTCTCTTTTTAATTCTCATCAGAACTCTAGCTGCAGCATTTTGGACAAGCTGAAGACTTTTAACTACATTCTGTGGACTTCCTGAGAGTAATGGATTACAGTAATCCAGTCTTGATGTAATAAATGCATGAACTAGTTTTTAAGCATCACTCCTGGAAAGTATGCTTCTAATCTTAGCAATATTCCGAAGGTGGAAAAAGGAAATCCTACAAACCTGATTAACCTGGGATTTGAATGACATGTCCTGGTCAAAGATAACACCAAGGTTCCTTGCTTTGTTCTCGGAGATTAATGTAATGCTATTCAGGTCAGGTGATTGACTAAGCAGTTTCCTTTTCTGGATTTCTGGTCCAAAGATGAGAACTTCAGTCTTATTTTGATTTAAAAACAAAAAGTTTAGAGTCATCCAATTTTTTATGTCTTCAAGGCAAGCCTGTAATCTAACTAACCGATTAGGTTCATCAGGGTTAATGGATAGATATAACTGAGTATCGTCAGCATAACAGTGGAAGTTTATCCCATGCTGTCTAATGATTTTACCAATTGGGAGCATATATAGTAAAAAGAATTGGTCCAACCACTGAACCCTGTGGTACTCCACAAGTAACCCTGGAGTATGAAGAAGATTTGTCATGTACATTTACAAAATGAAATCTGTCAGACAGGTAGGATTTAAACCAGCCTAGCGCTGTTCCTTTGATCCCTACCGGTGCCTACACTGTCTTGTTTATTTTAGTTGTTTTTCTGATTATCACTCCTCTGTATTATTTTATTGCACTTATTTCTTATTCTTGCACCATGTACCACAGCAATTTCCTAATGTTGTGAACCTGCTCACACATATGGCAGTAAAACCCTCCTGATTCTGATCTGATAGTGGTTGGTTGTTAGTAAACATCTGCTCTGACATCTGGTCCTATCCACTCAGGCTCATGCCATCATGAACTTTGTGGTCCGCTATCGTCCTGACGAGCAGCCGTCTCTGAGACCACATCACGACTCGTCCACCTTCACCATCAACATCGCCCTGAATAGGAAGGGCATCGACTATGAGGTAACATCCTTTATTTAGCCAGGGAGGTCCCATTAAGATTGAAAAGCTCTTTTTCAAGGGTCCTTGTCAGCTGATCTAACAGGAAGTTACTTTGAGCCTAACCTGTAAGCAGTTGAACTGATTCTAGATCGGCTGTACCCTCTGCACTCTGGGGGGTTGGAGGACTTCAGATCTAGAGCCAGAACATATCGAGAGGAACCTGAATCATTCAGGCAGAAAACGGCTCCTAACTCACATGATGAGCCAGCCTAGCAGACAACTTGACAAAAATTTTTTTATTTGTGATGGTTGGAACCACATCTGCTAAGCTGCTAACCCCTGTAGACACCTATACCTGTAGACACCTATACACTCCTGTAGACGCCTATACACTCCTGTAGACGCCTATACACTCCTGTAGACTCTTATACCCTCCTGTAGACTCTTATACCCTCCTGTAGACGCCTATATACTCCTGTAGACTCCTATACACTCCTGTAGACACCTATACACTCCTGTAGACACCTATACACTCCTGTAGACACCTATACCTGTAGACACCTATACACTCCTGTAGACGCCTATACACTCCTGTAGACACCTATACCTGTAGACACTTATACACTCCTGTAGACACCTATACACTTCTGTAGACACCTATACACTCCTGTAGACACCTATACACTCCTGTAGACACCTATACCTGTAGACACCTATACACTCCTGTAGACGCCTATATACTCCTGTAGACGCCTATACACTCCTGTAGACTCTTATACCCTCCTGTAGACTCTTATACCCTCCTGTAGACGCCTATATACTCCTGTAGACTCCTATACACTCCTGTAGACACCTATACACTCCTGTAGACACCTATACACTCCTGTAGACTCCTATACACTCCTGTAGACACTTATACACTCCTGTAGACACCTATACACTCCTGTAGACACCTATACACTCCTGTAGACGCCTATACACTCCTGTAGACGCCTATACACTCCTGTAGACACCTATACACTCCTGTAGATGCCTATACACTCCTGTAGACACCTATACACTCCTGTAGACACCTATACACTCCTGTAGACACCTATACACTCCTGTAGACACCTATACACTCCTGTAGACACCTATACACTCCTGTAGACTCCTATACACTCCTGTAGACACCTATACACTCCTGTAGACACCTATACACTCCTGTAGACACCTATACACTCCTGTAGACACCTATACACTCCTGTAGACACCTATACACTCCTGTAGACACCTATACACTCCTGTAGACGCCTATACACTCCTGTAGATGCCTATATACTCCTGTAGACGCCTATACACTCCTGTAGACTCTTATACCCTCCTGTAGACGCCTATACCCTCCTGTAGACGCTTATACACTCCTGTAGACGCATATACACTCCTGTAGACACCTATACACTCCTGTAGACACCTATACACTCCTGTAGACACCTATACACTCCTGTAGACACCTATACACTCCTGTAGACTCCTATACACTCCTGTAGATGCTTATACACTCCTGTAGACACCTATACACTCCTGTAGACACCTATACACTCCTGTAGACACCTATACACTCCTGTAGACGCCTATACACTCCTGTAGACGCCTATACACTCCTGTAGACGCCTATACACTCCTGTAGACGCCTATACACTCCTGTAGACGCCTATACACTCCTGTAGACACCTATACACTCCTGTAGACACCTATACACTCCTGTAGACACCTATACACTCCTGTAGACACCTATACCTGTAGACACTTATACACTCCTGTAGACACCTATACACTCCTGTAGACACCTATACACTCCTGTAGACACCTATACACTCCTGTAGACACCTATACACTCCTGTAGACACCTATACCTGTAGACACTTATACACTCCTGTAGACACCTATACACTCCTGTAGACACCTATACACTCCTGTAGACACCTATACACTCCTGTAGACACCTATACCTGTAGACACTTATACACTCCTGTAGACACCTATACACTCCTGTAGACACCTATACACTCCTGTAGACACCTATACACTCCTGTAGACGCCTATACACTCCTGTAGACGCCTATACACTCCTGTAGACACCTATACACTCCTGTAGACACCTATACACTCCTGTAGACACCTATACCTGTAGACACTTATACACTCCTGTAGACACCTATACACTCCTGTAGACACCTATACACTCCTGTAGACACCTATACACTCCTGTAGACACCTATACCTGTAGACACTTATACACTCCTGTAGACACCTATACACTCCTGTAGACACCTATACACTCCTGTAGACACCTATACACTCCTGTAGACTCCTATACACTCCTTTAGACGCTTATACACTCCTGTAGACACCTATACACTCCTGTAGACACCTATACACTCCTGTAGACACCTATACACTCCTGTAGACTCCTATACACTCCTGTAGACTCCTATACACTCCTGTAGACGCCTATATACTCCTGTAGACACCTATACACTCCTGTAGACACCTATACACTCCTGTAGACACCTATACACTCCTGTAGACACCTATACACTCCTGTAGACGCCTATATACTCCTGTAGACGCCTATACACTCCTGTAGACTCATATACCCTCCTGTAGACGCCTATACCCTCCTGTAGACGCTTATATACTCCTGTAGACGCCTATACACTCCTGTAGACGCTTATATACTCCTGTAGACGCCTATACACTCCTGTAGACACCTATACACTCCTGTAGACTCCTATACACTCCTGTAGACGCTTATACACTCCTGTAGACACCTATACACTCCTGTAGACACCTATACACTCCTGTAGACGCCTATACACTCCTGTAGACGCCTATACACTCCTGTAGACGCCTATACACTCCTGTAGACGCCTATACACTCCTGTAGACGCCTATACACTCCTGTAGACACCTATACACTCCTGTAGACGCCTATACACTCCTGTAGACACCTATACCTGTAGACACCTATACACTCCTGTAGACACCTATACACTCCTGTAGACGCCTATACACTGCTGTAGACACCTATACACTGCTGTAGACATCTATACACTCCTGTAGACACCTATACACTCCTGTAGACACCTATACCTGTAGACACTTATACACTCCTGTAGACGCCTATACACTCCTGTAGACACCTATACACTCCTGTAGACACCTATACACTCCTGTAGACACCTATACACTGCTGTAGACACCTATACACTCCTGTAGACACCTATACACTGCTGTAGAAATCTATACACTCCTGTAGACACCTATAAACATCTGTAGACACACAAACGCTTGTAGAACTCTGTAAACACCTGTAGTAACATGTAGACACCTGTAAACACCTGTTGTCACCTTTTCTGTTGTTCAGGGAGGAGGCTGCAGGTTCCTTCGATACAATTGCAAAGTGGAGTCTCCCAGGAAGGGCTGGTCCTTCATGCACCCAGGTCGCCTGACACACTACCATGAGGGTTTACCCACCACCAGAGGGACCAGATACATCATGGTGTCCTTCGTGGACCCCTGAGCACCTATAGTGTGTGTGAGAGAGAGAGAACACCATGAATCAGGTTTTTAGTAATTTCAGTGTCAGAGGGGACCATTTGGCTTTTCAAAATAAGAGTCACTTTACTAGTCTTTCATTCAGAACTTCAGACAAATGAGCTTCAAAAAACATGTCAGTTTGTCCTGAAGGCATCACTGTTGGGTATTTCAGAATGAGTCTCATTTGAATGTTGAACACACCAAGCTGCCTTCTTACTGGGTCTATGCAAGAACACACACTGTGTGTGTGTGTGTGTGTGTGTGTGCGTGCGTGCGTGCGTGCGTGTGTGTGTGTGTGTGCACACACCGACTCAAGAGAAGTATGAACTAGTCTTTCCACCCCAACTGTTCAGGTGACGTCTGTGTACCCAGTTGTGGTGGATTTGTGCCTCCTCCACCCCCTCCAGCAGGGGGCACTCTGGTCATCAGTGATGTCATGATGGAGCACTTCCTCCTACATGATGTCATGACTATGCTGGTTTTTGACCAATCAGAGGGCTTGGATGTGACCCTATAGAACATCTGGGGTGTTTTCTTCTTCATGTTTAGTTATTGGTGGTTTTCTTGTTTCCTCATCGTGGTTCTGCTGCTGCCTGCAGCTCTTTTGTACAAACTGCTTTAAATTATTTGTTCCACACAGAATAAAGTTTAAATAAGGACCTGCATGTTTGTGTCGTCTGTTCGTGGGTTATGGTGGTGTCAACAGAATCCTTTTCTCATTTGTTTTTAAATCAGTTAACAATCCAAACAGTTTACAGCACCCAGTAGGGAAAACATCTCCTAATCCAATGTCAGATTAAAGGTGCATTATGTAAGAATACAGTGAGAAAATCCCCAAAGGAAGGATCTACTGAAACCGAGCCTGGGTATCATCCTCAACAGCTAACTTTCTCACGTCAACATTATTACCCAGTCTGCTTATTTCCATCTACATAGCATTGTGACGGAAGCAGGTGTAACTAAGGGATTTGATCGGGGTGCCAGCCAGGTCTCTCTCCTGACATAAGAAATAAATACAATTATCAACTTTCCCTTGTAACTCACACTCACTTCACAACACAACGGATGTAAACAATTTGAAGTGCTTATCACCCTAACCTGGACTGAAACAAACAAACCCAAATAATCACATAAGCATAAGGCAAAAGCGGGGGTGTATTAAATCAGATCTTTTGCCACAACATGTATAATAATTAATGGAAAGGTCCGAGAGTCCCGTTCAGATAAATTCAGTTCAGTTCAGATAAGTTCAGTTCTGTTCAGATAAATTCAGTTCCGTTCAGATAAATTCATTTCTGTTCAGATAAGTTCAGTTCAGTTCAGATAAATTCAGTTCAGTTCAGATGAATTCAGTTCAGTTCAGATAAATTCAGTTCCGTTCAGATAAATTCAGTTCCGTTCAGATAAATTCAGTTCAGTTCAGATAAATTCAGTTCAGTTCAGATGAATTCAGTTCAGTTCAGATAAATTCAGTTCCGTTCAGATAAATTCAGTTCTGTTCAGATAAATTCAGTTCAGTTCAGATAAATTCAGTTCAGTTCAGATGAATTCAGTTCAGTTCAGATAAATTCAGTTCCGTTCAGATAAATTCAGTTCTGTTCAGATAAATTCAGTTCCGTTCAGATAAATTCAGTTCAGTTCAGATGAATTCAGTTCTGTTCAGATAAATTCAGTTCCGTTCAGATAAATTCAGTTCTGTTCAGATAAATTCAGTTCAGTTCAGATAAATTCAGTTCCGTTCAGATAAATTCAGTTCTGTTCAGATAAATTCAGTTCAGTTCAGATAAATTCAGTTCCGTTCAGATAAATTCAGTTCTGTTCAGATAAATTCAGTTCCGTTCAGATAAATTCAGTTCAGTTCAGATGAATTCAGTTCTGTTCAGATAAATTCAGTTCCGTTCAGATAAATTCAGTTCAGTTCAGATAAATTCAGTTCAGTTCAGATGAATTCAGTTCCGTTCAGATAAATTCAGTTCCGTTCAGATAAATTCAGTTCTGTTCAGATAAATTCAGTTCCGTTCAGATAAATTCAGTTCAGTTCAGATGAATTCAGTTCTGTTCAGATAAATTCAGTTCCGTTCACATAAATTCAGTTCTGTTCAGATAAATTCAGTTCAGTTCAGATAAATTCAGTTCCGTTCAGATAAATTCAGTTCTGTTCAGATAAATTCAGTTCAGTTCAGATAAATTCAGTTCAGTTCAGATAAGTTCAGTTCAGTTCAGATAAGTTCAGTTCAGTTCAGATAAATTCAGTTCAGTTCAGATAAATTCAGTTCAGTTCAGAAAAGAAAAATGTGCGTCCATAATACACTCAGCAAAAAAAAAGGAACTAAGATTATCGTTGTAGATTCAGTATACAGCAGCTGCAGCAACCGCTGTGTCGATCAGCTGTTTACTCACGGTACCGCTGAGGATCCGACAGGCCGCTGCTTCGGCGGTTCACCAGAACACACTCCCAGCTTACTCCTCCAGCACATCAGATAAGTCACATAGGTCCGCTAGACTCTCCCTGGTCGTTGGTGCGATAATCCTTGGTCCATAACACCGCTTGGCAGCGTCCGATCAAACTCACCTCCTCCTGCCTCCAGCGTCCTCCAGACAGGTGAGGGAGTACCACTCTCGGGGGGCGGGGCGTGTCTCCTAACTCACCTCTTATAGAAGTCAGGCAGACAAAACGATCAATAAAACAATATTGCTGCCTTTCTCTTAGGTCACAGAAATCAGCAACAAAAATAAAGACAATAACCTCCAAACTGTATTTCACACATATAAGTGATTTAACAAGTTCAACCAAAGCCGATAGGCACCAGGTGACAGACTTGGGCTGTTACACCACCATCCCGTCTCCGTTCCTCTCTTACTCCCTACACCACCACCATCCCGTCTCCGTTCCTCTCTTACTCCCTACACCACCACCATCCCTCTCTTACTCCCTACACCATCGCCATCCCGTCTCCGTTCCTCTACACCACCACCATCCCGTCTCCGTTCCTCTCTTACTCCCTACACCACCACCATCCCGTCTGTGTCCCTCTCTTACTCCCTACACCACCACCATTCCGTCTCCGTTCCTCTCTTACTCCCTACACCACCACCATCCCGTCTCCGTTCCTCTCTTACTCCCTACACCACCACCATCCCTCTCTTACTCCCTACACCATCGCCATCCCGTCTCCGTTCCTCTACACCACCACCATCCCGTCTCCGTTCCTCTCTTACTCCCTACACCACCACCATCCCTCTCTTACTCCCTACTCCACCACCATCCCGTCTCCGTCCCTCTCTTACTCCCTACACCACCATCCCGTCTGTGTCCCTCTCTTACTCCCTACACCACCACCACCATCCCTCTCTTACTCCCTACACCACCATCCCGTCTGTGTCCCTCTCTTACTCCCTACACCACCACCATCCCTCTCTTACTCCCTACACCACCATCCCGTCTGTGTCCCTCTCTTACTCCCTACACCACCACCATCCCTCTCTTACTCCCTACACCACCACCATCCCTCTCTTACTCCCTACACCACCACCATCCCGTCTCCGTCCCTCTCTTACTCCCTACACCACCATCCCGTCTGTGTCCCTCTCTTACTCCCTACACCACCACCACCATCCCTCTCTTACTCCCTACACCACCATCCCGTCTGTGTCCCTCTCTTACTCCCTACACCACCACCATCCCGTCTCCGTCCCTCTCTTACTCCCTACACCACCACCATCCCGTCTCCGTCCCTCTCTTACTCCCTACACCACCATCCCGTCTGTGTCCCTCTCTTACTCCCTACACCACCACCACCATCCCTCTCTTACTCCCTACACCACCATCCCGTCTGTGTCCCTCTCTTACTCCCTACACCACCACCATCCCTCTCTTACTCCCTACACCACCACCATCCCGTCTCCGTCCCTCTCTTACTCCCTACACCACCATCCCGTCTGTGTCCCTCTCTTACTCCCTACACCACCACCACCATCCCTCTCTTACTCCCTACACCACCACCATCCCTCTCTTACTCCCTACACCACCACCATCCCTCTCTTACTCCCTACACCACCATCCCGTCTGTGTCCCTCTCTTACTCCCTACACCACCACCACCATCCCTCTCTTACTCCCTACACCACCATCCCGTCTGTGTCCCTCTCTTACTCCCTACACCACCACCATCCCGTCTCCGTCCCTCTCTTACTCCCTACACCACCACCATCCCGTCTCCGTCCCTCTCTTACTCCCTACACCACCATCCCGTCTGTGTCCCTCTCTTACTCCCTACACCACCACCACCATCCCTCTCTTACTCCCTACACCACCATCCCGTCTGTGTCCCTCTCTTACTCCCTACACCACCACCATCCCTCTCTTACTCCCTACACCACCACCATCCCGTCTCCGTCCCTCTCTTACTCCCTACACCACCATCCCGTCTGTGTCCCTCTCTTACTCCCTACACCACCACCATCCCTCTCTTACTCCCTACACCACCACCATCCCTCTCTTACTCCCTACACCACCACCATCCCTCTCTTACTCCCTACACCACCACCATCCCTCTCTTACTCCCTACACCACCACCATCCCTCTCTTACTCCCTACACCACCACCATCCCGTCTCCGTCCCTCTCTTACTCCCTACACCACCATCCCGTCTGTGTCCCTCTCTTACTCCCTACACCACCACCACCATCCCTCTCTTACTCCCTACACCACCATCCCGTCTGTGTCCCTCTCTTACTCCCTACACCACCACCATCCCTCTCTTACTCCCTACACCACCACCATCCCTCTCTTACTCCCTACACCACCACCATCCCGTCTCCGTCCCTCTCTTACTCCCTACACCACCATCCCGTCTGTGTCCCTCTCTTACTCCCTACACCACCACCATCCCTCTCTTACTCCCTACACCACCACCATCCCTCTCTTACTCCCTACACCACCACCATCCCTCTCTTACTCCCTACACCACCACCATCCCTCTCTTACTCCCTACACCACCACCATCCCGTCTCCGTCCCTCTCTTACTCCCTACACCACCATCCCGTCTGTGTCCCTCTCTTACTCCCTACACCACCATCCCGTCTGTGTCCCTCTCTTACTCCCTACACCACCACCACCATCCCTCTCTTACTCCCTACACCACCATCCCGTCTGTGTCCCTCTCTTACTCCCTACACCACCACCATCCCTCTCTTACTCCCTACACCACCACCATCCCTCTCTTACTCCCTACACCACCATCCCGTCTGTGTCCCTCTCTTACTCCCTACACCACCACCACCATCCCTCTCTTACTCCCTACACCACCACCATCCCGTCTCCGTCCCTCTCTTACTCACTACACCACCACCATCCCGTCTCCGTCCCTCTCTTACTCACTACACCACCACCATCCCGTTTCCGTTCCTCTCTTACTTTGAGACACCCGCTCCCTTTTGCTCGGTGTGCCGTTATTATCACGATGGAGAGAATACACAACAGAGGTTTAAAAAAACAGCTTTTTAGGAAAATGTCTGTGAGAATGAGAAGAGCAGGAGGTCTGAGTTATATCCTACAACAGAACTGTTTGGATCACCACACCATATCTGTCTTAATGCCCCTTTATTGGTAGTTTTGGAATTTATTGTACATATCAAAGCAATTTGGGCCATTTTAATCATAC